CTTTTTAAAAGGAATTTAGTAATTCACTTTACTGGGAGCTATTTTACCTATGGATTCACTTAAATAGCCGCTGTAAGAATATAATTACCCACCTCTCCCCAATTTTTTTTTTTTTTTTTTGGCTTTCACAACTCATCGGGTTCCGGTCTGTTGAAGGCTTTTTGGTGCCATTTTGTTAACCAACAGCGACCCCATGTGGTCACAAAAGAGTTTTAATTCAACTTTGCGCCTCCGACTAAATTTTCCACAAATCAATCTTTGAAACTTTTAAAACTCAGCATGTCACACATGCACACGCCTTCAGCTCGATCACTGGGCGGGTTCCGTGGAGATTATTATGAAAGAAAGCGGCCTGAGTCCCAGGGAGGCTGGACCTACCACGAAGTGTGGCTCAAGAGGCCTGGAAAACGCTGCAGAACATCCGAAAACGACACAGACCACAGCAAGCGCTCGACAGCACCTGGAACACACAACTTCCGGCTGGGGTCATTTGGTTATTTTTTGGTCATTTGGTTCTTTAAAGTTAACCCCAGAAATCTGCCACGTTCCACTTGTGAATAAAAAACACCATTCGAACATGGTCTAAAAGTGACTCGGGCTCCAATCTTGTCAGATCCAAGGGGTCACACGTGGGGTGGTTTGGGGAGATAAAAAGCAGTATGACAAAATACTTAAAGTGAACGTTCATGTATTATTTAACTTTTCAATAATTTTTAAATGTTTCAAATAAAAAGGTGGTTGTAGACCTTTATAAAGAACCCAGCTGAGCATGGTGGCACACGCCTGTGATCCCAGCACTCGGGAGGCCGAGGCAGGAGGATCGTCGCGAGTTCCAAGGCCAGCCTGGGCTACAAAGTGAGCTCCAGGCCAGCCTGAACTGCACAGTGAGACCCTTGTCTCAAAAAGACAAATAAAATAAAATAAAATAAAAAATCCACTATGCCCTTGTTAACATTAAGGATAAAGGAAACTGACAAGTATGACGTTCCCAGACGACAAAAACACAAACGTGTAAATCGTCTCACTGCAAACTCGTAACAATAAGTGAGAGATAAAAGAAAATCCTCAAAGGAGGCTGGGCGACAGCAGCGGCCTCGGGGTCTCCCTGAGCTGCTCGGGTTGGACTCGCGGAGCTGGGATGACAGGCCCGCCGCCGCCAGGGAAGGAGCACGCGGGCCTCCTGTGCGCAGGCCCGGGAAGTGGAGGAGGGGCTGAGCGCACAGGCGGGACACGAGGCAGCACTTCCGGCCGCGGCACGGGGGCGCCCTCACGGGGGCCCGGGGACCCGCCGGACCTACCCGCGGGCCGCTCCCGGGAGCTGCGCTCGCCTTCCCGGGCCAGTCCCGCCGCGTCAGGGCCGCAGGAGCCGCTCTCTTCCGCGCCCGGGTCCTGAGGGGCCACACAGTCCTCGACGTCCTGCATGTTGCTGGTAGGATCCGGGCTGGGGAGAAACGGGCGCTGTAGGCGGGTGGGGACTCCAGGGCTTCTTGGGGTAAAAGGGCCGGGAGGAGCGCCTGCCGGGAGCCAGCCGGGCAGGTGAGGAAACTGAGGTGACAGCCGCCCACTCACCGCCTCACCTCCTCCGGGCAGCCCCGGCGGCCCACTCTCTAACTTCGCCCTCAGCAGCCGCGTGGCTTCGAGGCGCGATTGGACTGTACCATCGCGGCGGGGATGGCCGGGTGAGAGGGCCACTGTGGCAGCGCTGATGCGATGAGGACGACCCAGCACACACCCCTGTAGCCTCTCAGAATGGGAGAGTCCGATTTGCCAACAAACACCCTTCAGTCTCCCGGGACAACTGCGCAGGCGCGGGGGAGGAGGGGGGGGGAGTGCAGCAGCAAGCACATGCTGCCCTCGTGGGCTCGAAGCCTGAGTGGGATGGTTGTTACGGGCCTGCCGCCCCCACCTCCTCTCCAGAGATCACCCGGAACTACTTAGTGCGGGTGGAGACAGGGATTTTCTCCCATTCCACAGTTCCCTTTGATCCTGGGGTGTGGTCTTGCTGATAGCTCGCTGCAGGTCACTGTCCTTGATTCTGCGTCCACTCTTGACCTGGGGATCTGCGATGTCCCCCATCCAGTCCCTGCCCTTGCGGAGAGAAAATGTAATTTCCTCTCTACAGTCTCTCACCCTCTTCATTACTCTGATTTGATTTCTTACTCCAAAAATTTACTTTAAAAAAAAAAAAGATAAACCAGGCATGGCGGTGCAGGCCTGTACCCCAGCACTCAGGAGCCTGAGGCAGGAGGATGGGAGTTCAAGGCTAGCTTGAATGATGCAGTAAGACCTTGTCTCTAAATAAGTAAATAAAATAAAAATACAACCTGTAAGAAACTCTGTTTTGACCACGTTCTCATTTTAACTTTGGCCATGTTAGTGTGGAGTGTGCTGTTTCTTGCACAGTTCAAAGCTTTGAGGGGGGAAGCTATGAAAAGCCCGGAGATGGGGGCTGGGGATTTAGCTCAGTGGCAAAGCGCCTGCCTGGCAAGCTCAAGGTCATGAGTTCAGTTCCCGGTACCGGAGAAAAACCCAAAAACAAACAAACAAACAAACAAACAAAAAAAAGCCCGGAGATGGTTTCTGCCTTAAAAAGTCCATTCAACCCTGAGACCCAGGAAGATGTGAAGGAACGGCGTGGTAAAGTTCCTCTTTATGGGGAGGGTATCTCAAAGGAATACACACTATGCCTCCTCCTTCCTCCTCCACCTCTACTGAAATTTCCCTTGGGGAGTCAGCCACCCCAAACCCACCAGAAGGAGGAGGAAGTTGCAAGGTGGCTTCAGTAGAGTTTGATGAAATGCTTCATTGTTACACAGGGGAGTATTTAGACTGGGCCCTTGATTTCTCCTTTAAAGAAAAAAAAAGAATTCTGAGATTGGCCATTTTCCTGTCTAAGAGAGACCTTCCAGAATAACATGAGTTTGTTTCTCACGCAAAAATGGCATTGCTGTGAAACTTCCCTGACCACTGTCTGAAACTCCCCTAGAATTTCATTGGTACCCATGGAATAGTCTCTTAAGAGTCCTTTTGTTATAGGCAGCTGAGTTAGATAGAAATATTATAGGCAGTCAGA